TGACATGTGAAAATACTAATCAAGTGTAGTTGGTAAATTATATTTGATAGATAATATAATTCAGTCATTTAGTTTTTATTTTGATGTAGTCGGAAGACTCGGGACAATGTAAGATTTTGTCAATTTAACTTTTAAAAAGCTTCTTTCTATCTTTCTTTTTTAACAAAAAAAAAGCTTCTTTCAACATAGAAAAATGCATATTGAAGTTGTCAATAATATACATTCGGTCGAAGAACAATCTTATTTTTTAGGCAATACAATGTTTTAATTGGAGTGATAATTTTGCTTTGTAAACTTCTTTTAAGACTCATAATTCCAAAAATAAATTGGAACTATCAATCTCAACAAAATAAACGTCATTATACGAACATTATAAGAAATTAGGGTTTTGCCAAAGAAAGTTTTACTAGAGATAAATTTTTAAAAATAAAAAAATGAAGTAATTTCATATATTTTTTGATACGTTTAACTCTAAGAAATGCTTGATCTACTATATGTATGGCATTAGAAATTTTGAAAGCCAATATTGTTTTTCATTCTTGATAATCTCATCGTGATATTTTTATGCAATATATGTATATTAATTATTTCTCGTACCTGAAGGTACGGAATAATAAAAAAAATGATCAATAATCAATATATTTGTATTAATATCCAAAATCACATCACAAACATAAGTGAGAGATAAATAAAGTTAAGCACTGATTGTAGTGGGGGGTGAGCGGTGGTAGTGGTGGTTTGCGACAATGGTGATGGTGGAAGACGGTAATGGTTGTAGTAGGTGGAGACGACCATGATGATGATGGGTTTTAGGTGACGATGATGATAGTGACAATCATGAGTAATAGCGGTGGTAGATAACGGTGATTGTGGTTGGTAGAGGTGGTGGGACGNATGAATTTTAGGTGACGATGATGATAGTGACAATCATGAGTAATAGCGGTGGTAGATAACGGTGATTGCGGTTGGTAGAGGTGGTGGGATGACGACGATTGTGGTGGGCGGTGACAATGGTGGTGGTGGACGACGATGAGTGCTTCTAAGTGACAGTGTGATGGGTGGTGGATAATGGTAGCAATGGTAAGTGTGATGGACATAGGTGACAGTGGGTGGTTGCAGTGATGGGCGATGACTGGTGGTGGTAGTTGGTGAGGGTAGGTGTGATGGGGGTGGGTGACAATGATTGGTGGCGATGGTGGGTGACAACGAGTGGTGGTGGGTTGTGGTAGTGGGTGACGATGGGTTCTGACGGTGGTAGTGGGAAGNGTGATGGGGGGTGGGTGACAATGATTGGTGGCGATGGTGGGTGACAACGAGTGGTGGTGGGTTGTGATAGTGGGTGACGATGGGTTCTGACAGTGGTAGTGGGATGATGATAATAATGATAATAAATATAAGAATAAGATGACGATGGTAGTGGGTGGTGGCGATGGACGACGATGGTAGCAATCAGTAATGCGTGGCGATGGTGGTGGTAGTTGTGATGATGGTGGGGGTAATAGGGAGTGATAGTGGGAAAGTGACGGTGATGGTAAGGTGCGGCAGTGGTGATGATAATGGTAGGGGTGCGATAGCGGTGGTAGTGAGAATGGTGGTGGTGGTAGTGGTGATGGTAGGGTAATGGAGGTGATGGGTTGGTGGTGGTAGCAACGGTGACGATTGTGGCGGTGGGTGTGGTAGGGTAACGATANAGATGACGATGGTAGTGGGTGGTGGCGATGGACGACGATGGTAGCAATCAGTAATGGGTGGCGATGGTGGTGGTAGTTGTGATGATGGTGGGGGTAATAGGGGGTGATAGTGGGAAAGTGACGATGATGAGAAGGTGCGGCAGCGGTGATGATAATGGTAGGGGTGCGATAGCGGTGGTGGTGGTGATGGTGGTAGTGAGAATGGTGGTGGTGGTAGTGTTATGGTAGGGTAATGGAAGTGATGGGTTGGTGGTGGTAGCAACGGTGACGATTGTGGCGGTGGTGGTGGCGGTGGGTGTGGTAGGGTGATGATAGTGGTAGTGGCGGCGGCAATGATTGTGGAGCGGTGGGGGTGGGGGTGAGGCGGTTTCAAATACTATTTTATTTTTAAAATATTATTGAGAAATAATTTCTTTATATATATATATTTTTTTGACTACGAGAACTTATCTTCCTTAAAACCTTCATCACTGTGATAAAGTTTGTCTTGCATTAATAAAACTCATTTGAAAAAGTTCACTTGGATACTACGGTTATTGTTTGAATTCAGGTTTACCAATCCATCTTTTCACATAATGGTCAACAAAAGTTGTGGAACCAGTCCAAATGGTCCCCTGTTTTGAACTGATACATAATCTTTCACTTTCATGTATAGTCTTCCATTTATCCAAGTGTAAAAAACAACTGAGTTAAAGCCCTTTGTGGTAATGACCCAAAAAAAAAAAAAGAAGCCCTTTGTGTTGATAACTTCATCCGTAAATACCCACCACAAAAGATCTCTAAGTGACAATTTTTGTTGGATAGAACTTTGATTTATTCCAGTCAACCCCATCTTCTTCTGATTTTGCACTCTAGCTTGAAGCCAAGAACTTCATCATCTAGCTCAAGTTTAGGGATTCATTGTCCAAGTTGTTGTCACAATCACATATGGTAATAATGAAATAGTAATCGATTAAATATTCATCATATAATTGATGTAATTTTTTTTTTTGGTTACAAGGTGTTTAATTTTACGCCGACTACTTTTTGAAACTTAACAATTGATCAATGTGGTTTGAATTAAGTTAGAGTATGTCCCTTTAAAAAAAATTAGTGGTTAACTTTTAGGTGGTGTAGAAAGTGATTGGATCTGAAACTTTTGAGTTATCAAAGATCAGATCTAATCACTCTACCATCTCTAAGAGTTTAGCTACACCCTTGTAAATTTTGTAATGCAACCAAAAAAAAAAAATAATAGTATGATTCAACTTACTATGTTACTAACATNTCTCTAAGAGTTTAGCTACACCCTTGTAAATTTTGTAATGCAACCAAAAAAAAAAAATAATAGTATGATTCAACTTACTATGTTACTAACATGATGCAAGGCCAAAATTACTTAAAAAAAGTCAAAATATAATAGGATAGATATTAGAAACGAAGGGAATGTCAAAGGAGCCTTAAAAGAAGGAATGTGCTTCTTTTTTGTAGTGCTGGTTTGTCAGTTCATGCTCAACAACAGTACACAATTATTGTTATGTAATGAAATAATTACTTTCCCAAAAAAGAAAAAGTAGCACATGTAAAGCCTTATTATTTTCTTACTTTTAAGATATTTTATTTATGGTTAATTAGTTTATGATTATTAATGAATTAATTATGTTTTATTCTAAATAAATAATGCTAGCAATCGAGATTTTTACTGAAACAGTTTCGATGTATTGGACGCAGTCCCATCGGCTGTACTACCGATGATCCCCGTCAAACCAACAGCTAGGACCACCCCACTTCACTGGCCTAATCTGACGGCCAAAACTCAATGACAGAACCCGTAAGCACCACCCGGTCCACCCCCTTTTGTACACAAGTCAAACACCTCCAAACATTGCTCCACGTAGCCCAGACACACCCAATAACACATCGACAACTCATCTCCTCCATCTCTCTCTCACACACTCCAACACACACAAGCCACTTTCTCTCTCGAAGAATCTCTCCCCTCTTCCACACCGTAAGGTGAATGTGAATCCCCACTTTGTGTCCTTTTGTCCTTGTTGGGCCTCTTTTATCTGGTTCACAACATCAAGTGGTGGGAAAGACAAAGTGAAACTCATCATATGCCTAGTTGCTAACTCCCTCATCATTTCAATTCTGAGTTCCCTCCTCCCTCTCCGTGTCTATCTCTCTCTCTCTCTCTCTCTCACCGCCGGCAGTGAAATTTGGCAATTTACAGGGGTTTGAACTGCATTAAGAGATGACAAACAGAAGAACTGGGAAAATAGAGAGAGAGAGAGGAGAGAAACGAAAAAGAAAGAAGAAAAATTGAGGGTTTCTTGTGGTTGGGGTTAGGTTTGGTTGTTAAAACACATAAACCCTAATTGTTTTTTGATCATCTCCTGTATTTCTGAAAGGATATGGTTTGCAGAAAGGATTTTGAAGGTGTTTGATGTTCTTTCCAAAAATGGGGTTGTCTGTGGTTTCAGATCTGACGTCAGAATTATGTGTGTTACAGCCATTTGGATAGATAGAAGTCTTTTATGAGGAAGGAAGGGTTTGTGTGTGTGTGTGTTGCTTTGAACAATAATGTTTTTGGGGGGTTTTCGTCATTTCGGGACACGAGAGACAGACTGACAGAAGAGAGTGAGCACACGCAGGCAATTGTATAGAGAGGTATACCTTTGTTGGGTGCGTGTGCTCACTTCTCTTTCTGTCAGCCAGCTTCCTGCGCCTTCTCGGTTTGGTTCCAACCCCCAATGCAACACCACCACCACCTATTCTCTGAAAGCTTAAATTAATATCTTTCTCTCTGTGCACATAGTTCTGTGTTACTTTTATTACTTGTCTCTTTGCGTTCCTTTAAAGAGAACGAAGATGGAGGGCTGCATAGAGAAGGAGAAACATTTGGATACGACATATCAAGCCAGGCCATAAATGCTACTGCCACACGACACCCACCACAATGTGTTTCATCTTATCCACAATCTCTCACTGTTTTTTGCACATTTTGTCTAGACTTCTCCCTCTCATGTTTGTTTTTTGCTTATGCTCTATGGGTGAATGGCTTGGTGTTTACAGAATGGAGAAGAAGAGGAATTATCAGAGGTAATAGTTCATAACCATTTCTGGCCTTGGCTTATCTTTTGTACTGATTTGGTTTGATAATTTACCTTATCCAAATCCAGATATTATTATTAGTATTGTTTTTCACATTTGTGGTGGGGTTTTGATGCGTGACTTTTGATGTACTTTTGGTTGGAGACGACGAAGTGGGTTTGGAAGGTACGCCCAGTTACTGATCTGATTTAACGGAAAACTTGGTTTTAGGGCAAAATGAGAAGGTTTATACATGATGTTAGCTTGTTACTACATGTGGGTCTGGCTTGTTCTTACATGTTTTTCCCCTCCTTCCTCTACCCCTTTTTTTGTCTGATGATTCTTTGTCAAGCATGGAATGATTTACAAAAAATTTACAACATTTCTGGTTTTGATCTGGTTCTGATTCCATTTTTATGCGAAATGGACTCCCAAAAAGTAAAAGAAAGAAAGAAACTTCACACATACAAATTTGCTGAAGGTGAAGGACACCTTTACGGAAGATTTTATTGTTTCCTTTCTAGGCATATATGTATGCAATCTTAGCTATGATCATATAAGAAAGTTTCTATGTACAGGTCTTTAAGTTGCTTCGCTTGGTAGAATCTTTGAGATTTGTATTCACTGCTTTTGATAGAAGTTCTTTCTTCTTCACCTTTCGAATTTTTTTTTCCTTCTTTGCCAAGGCCATCCCCCAATTATTTGTGCACTAATTGCGTTTGATCATTGACAGCAATTATTGCTTGGTACATTCGGGCAAAGCACACCTTTTGCTGAAATTTCATTGCCCTGGTAATTAAGCTTGGTTTCTTGCATATTTTGGTAATTTGTGTACTTCACTACTTCGTGGCATAATATTCTTTAATCATTGAGGTTTTGTATATGATATGTGTTTTTCTTTCTTTGTTGGCTTGTGTGGTATGATTATTATATGTTTTTCCTGATCCATATTGGGACCATCGCTATTTTACTACTTTTGAAAGGGATTAAACAACGGGATTAACATAAAATCACTATTGAGAGAAGAGGATAGTTTTTGGTCAAACTTTCAATTGGGTTGATTTCATTGATCCACTATGTAAGTTTTGTATCACATGCTTGCTTTCTTCGTCTGCTATCTTCCTATAAGTTAATGCCTTTGCAGGCTATTCTGTGAAAATTCCATATTCTGCATTTACTCCTTATTGATTAGTGTTTGCACTGCACAAGATTTAGTGTTCGAATGGATAGTTTGCGAAAATGAAAAACGATGGCTGAATCTGGTCACTTTACTAGACAGTTATATGGCTAAGGGAGGAAATTTTCGAACAAATTGTGGCGTATCTGCTCAATATATGTTATACATAAGTTTGAGGGTATGGCCAAATCTACCTGTGGCTTCGTAAGCACACTAAAAATGATATCAATGGGGGAGTTGCAACTATGTGCTATCAATTCTTGTTGCGGTCATAATTCTTAGCACCGTAACGGTTGCATCTGAAGCTTCTATGTTGGATAGTGTTTCATCTGCTATTTGATAGTGCTAGGCAACCTCCATGCTCTTTATCTTCATCAACCCAATCCTCATGCTTGAAATTCTAACATTCTGATAGCTGCAGCATTTTTCTGATTCAAACATGAAAGGAATTTTTTGTGTGCACCAAGCATGCACACAAAAAAGGATATCAATGGACTATTATCCTTCATGTACTCTCGATTCTTGTGGTGGTCCAAATTGTTAGCACTGTAACCATTGGTTGATATCTGAAGCCTCCATGTTTGGTCTGCTATTGGTGGTTCTAAGTAACCTCTATGCTCACCATCATCATCAATCCAATCCTCATCATCCTGAAAATTCTAATATTCAGAAATCTGTATCATCTTTCTGATTCGAACATGCAAGGAATTCAGAGTTGGATTGGGGGAACACGTAAGTCTTTGAAAAAAAAAAAAACAGTGCTGTCATCAGGGATTGTGTCCTTTGCCTTGAATTATAACACTGTCATACTTTTCATTACTTAGAAGTGTATTAGCCTGCTATCCTAGTTGGGCAGTATCGTTATTGCAACTCAAGCATGTGGCTCAAAATTGATGAGCTGCTACATTATAATTGTATGCTGCTTCTTGCAAAATGAGCCTATTAGCTAGGTGTGATAGTTGAGCTTATATTCATCTAATTATCCACTCAATACATGCAACATAGAGGGCTTATGATAGCAGATTGCTGCATGCCTGCATTGCTTCGTAATTCTCTCAACAAGCTTCCTGCTTAAGACAATAGGATCACACAGAAGGATTTTGCTTTCTTATGATAACAATCTTGCCTAATGACTTTTTTGCAGTAGCATGCACTTGTTGCCTTATTATACCTTTTGGGGTGATGGAAAGTAAAATTATTTTAAGAGTTAATACTTTTTTATCAACTGGGCTTAATTTGGAAAATTTGGGTTTGTGTTAGTGGATGAGTGGTGTGTTGATGTTCTGTAGGGTGTTTTCAATTAGGTTGAGAAAGTAATGTTTTAATATTCGTGGTTTCTAGTGGAGATAGAGGTATGTTGATTTAAGTTTTGGAGTTCTGTTTGAAACCTATATTAAGTGGATGTGTATTCCAGTGGGTGAGGAAAGAAGAGTAAAGTTGAGTTTGCGAAGAGTCTAGATTTTAGTTCTAATCAACTATAGTGTTCATCATTCTCCTTTACTTCGACTGTATTTTTAGTTCTCTTGCCTCTAATAAAGTGGCATTGGAGCTACTTTCCAATTGGAGAAACAATGTAGCAATTCCAATGAAGTGGTATGAGAGCAGGTACGGAGTTTGGAAGTTTAGATAGATAATCATTAGATGATCTGGGAAGTTTAGATAGATTACTATCAGAGCCACTTTGATCCTTGAAGTTTTGATAGATCTTCATGGTCATGATGATCAGGAAGGTTCACCAAATATTTGTTTTTCGTGTGAAAAAATAATGTTATAATATCAAGGGATTGAAAATGATAATCTTTTTTTTTAATATTATCTTTATCTATGTTATCTATGGGATGTGATTAAAGAAAAGCATCTAGTGGCTTGCCTAAACAAATTCGAGAGAAGAAAGAGGAAAACTCCTCAAAGTTCTCAAAAAATGCATATATATCCTGTGATTAGGAAACATATTAAGATTCAAAATCTCCACCATCTCTAAACAATGGGGATGAGTTTTTATCAAAGGAGTATTGGGTGGTTCAATGCTTTAAAGAGATGAGTTTATATGTGTGATTTTGAAGACATACCAATGAAGGATCAAAAAGATGGTCATAATGAAGTCAAAATACTTGAGGATACCAAAGATAAAGAAAAAATTGAGGCTGTAAGAGAAAATAATGAGGACAATGAAGTTTGTGAAGAAGTTAAAACAAAAGTGAAGAAAGAAATTGAGAGGTTGCAACGAATGAAGAAGAAATCGAGGATCATGCCATGATTAAGTGGTGAAATGAAATCCTATAAACTAACCATGGAAAACTTTCTAATGAGGCATGAAAGTGAAAACTATATTCAAGGTAATGAATTTCATGAAAATTACATGAATCATCATTTACCATTTGGTGCGGAGAATAGTTAAGTGTCATATGTTGGGTGAACAATGTGCTAAGAAAAAAAATGTTTAAAATGAAGATAATGCATGATCGTGTGCAAATTTATCTAAGTTCTACAACGCATTGAAGATGGCTTTGAAGATTCTAGCTACTGAAGATTGTGGGGATTAACCCCATGAAGTTTTCATCATTCGCGTGAAGCCCCTTAATTATGAAGTGTTTGACAAGTTATGAACTTGAGTTACAAAATCAAGTTTAAAGGGAGGTGTTGAAAATTAATCTTTTCATTGGAGCTATTCCATATTATTTGTTGTTCTGGGAGGGGAAACTCAATGTGGATCTTCCTCATGATTATTCAAGTGAAGTAATAGACACTTTACTAGGAGAGGGGTGAATAGATTTTTCAATTTAACGCTTAATTGAGTACCAATAAAAACCTAAACTACCCCAATTACCTCGTCTCACAAAAATATAACAATTAATGTGAGAATCCTTTTAGTCATCACAATCCAAATTAACCATGATGACTAATTTTAATTAATCTTTAATTAATTCGTTCACAATTAATCTCACAACGATCTCAAATCCCAAACCCCAAACCTGATGCATAATTATGTAGGGGTAGATATTCAAACAATCATTCCAACAAACACATAGTGCACACGATTACAATCATGTGTGTATAATAAAAATAAAGAACACAAATGATTTCTTAATGCGGAAATCCTTATCGGAAAAAATTATAGGGAAATATCTCGGTTCACCAAAACCTAATTCATTACTTGCTAAGTCAACATACACATACTTGAATCTTATACTTCAACTAATACCATGGTTAGATGCTCATTGTCTTATTGTTTTTCTGTCAAAGGCATTCCTTCAACGTGTAGTATAACTTTACTTGGACCTCCCCATCACACGATTTGTCTAGGTCTTGAGCAATCATGGGCACCCCAACGATTCCTGGTATGCTCACACTATTGGATTTGATTTACACCATCAATATATTCAATACTAAGTAATGAGGTTGGGTAAAATCTCTAGTGGTAGCCTTTGACTTTAGGGATCTAGATTAGTGGTAGAAGCTCTTAAGGTAGAAGTAGTGTTTTCTCACTTAGAAATCTCACAAGAGGCTTCAGCTAGCTGTGGTTCTCTCCCTTTTTATAGGTTTGGAATAAAGGTAGTTTTAGTAAATAAGAAAACTCATATTCGCAAACGACTATTCGATCGGTGGGAGGACGATCATGGAGTGAATTGAACAAGAATAAAAATCACATTTCCATCCCGTCTAAGAGCAGCACCACTCAAGCAAGCTTTGTATTGTTCCCTCGTGAGATTTTCTCGTCTAATTTTCTAAGTCATCAAGAGAATGCTCTATCCAAGGTTAGCATAGCTCGGTTCATATTGGTTTTTGAAGCAATGTTATTAGAACCAGATCGGTCATCGAACCGGCAGGGCGACAGGGTCAATGGTTCAACTATTAGGTCAACTGGTCGAATAAGTTATATAATACAAAATTTAAAAATATAAAATATAATAATTTAATAATTTAATTAAAAAAATATAAAACATGTCCACAATATATACAATTTATCATAAAATTAACAACATAAATACAAAATTATATATAAAAAAAACCAACAACTTGCTTATGCCTTTTGACCTTCTCAAGGCAATGACCTTTTCGAGGCAAGTGTTTTTTAATGTGTGCCTTTTCGAGGCAATTATATTATATTTTTTTAATATTATTGTATTGTTCTGTGTGTGTTCAGTCAAGACTTTTTTTTTTTGAACTGGTTTAGTCAAGACTCTTGACTTAAGAGTTTGTTTCGTGTGTGTGAGAAAGAGAGAGAGAGAGGGAGATAGACAGAGACTGAGATTTAGATAGAGGAGAACAGAGAGAGTAGAATAAAAAGAAGAGTTACAGTCATAGAAGGTGAAGGGAGACGGATTGCTGCTAAGCTTTGGAAAAGATTGCTTCTACCTCTGTGAGCGTC